CGGTACGTAGTCCTTCGGTCGTCTAGTAGGTAGGTAGACGACTTAGTCGTGTAGTGTGACGACGTACGTCTAGATACTAACCTACGAGGACGAAGAACTTATATATATATATATATATATATATATAATTAATTACCATATTTGTCCCTATTACTGCATGTATGTTTCATGATCCTGAAGTTAGGTCTGAAGATGAGCCTAATTTGTGCTAGAGGAAGAACATAGTAATTTGAGTCTTTAAAAGTGCCTTACTAGGAAGTGCTAGAGGCTAGCCCTTTAGCTCAGTTGGTAGAACACTTGCTTGGTGTGTGTTGTGTGAGAGAGAGGTCTTATATTGAAATCCAAAGTAAAGAAAAAATATATTCCAAAAAAGTAAAATGTAGCATAGCAAATACTTAATAAAGTATATATATATATATATATATATACACAAACACACCATACATTCTTGTAAAACGATTTATTAATATTGTTTGTTATCTTAGAAATTTCTATATTTACATCTAAAACATTGCTTAAGCTATCTAAAGTTGTAAAGTCAGTAAATATAGACTTACACATCCTTCATTTCCTGAGGTAGCATAATATCTCTTGGGCGAACAAGACTGTCACTTAGCTCCACAACCCGAAGTGTTACTTCAGGGTTAGGAGTACCTGGCTAAATGGTAAAAGAACAAATATTTATTAAACTAAAGATAAGTAATTTAAGTTATTTGGGTAATATATTCAACAGTTGCCAGATAAGTTATCATGTTGTTAAATATAATATAGAAAACATGACAGTCACATGGTTTTTTGTTTTATATGTAAAAATGTAACACATGTATTACATATGAAAATGGCAGCCATGTCTATCATGTGATTACAGTGAAATAAATTAAGTTAAACAGACACCATCCATGTGGCTATGATATATTATAATAAAAATAAATCATGCTTGCCAGCCTCTGTTTATTTACTTCAAACTAGTTAAAATTTATTAATACATTTGTCAACATGTTGATACACCATTAAGTTGATCAGAGTGGGATGAATGGGAATATCATCATATTTTACCATTTCACAACTACTGGGATTATATCATTTAGTTATAATCAAGTAAATTTTCATGCAGGTATTCTGCATGTGATTAGTAATGTTTTTGTAAGCAGAATGTATGAAGGATGTAAATGGACTAATTCTTTACCCAATATAAAGTTGATATGCTACAATGTTTTCCATAGGATTTATAGTTAACTGGCTCTGTTTCTTTGTCACACACGTTTGAAGGGGGGGTCATATTTATTTCATTGGGTGGTACAGATATTTGTACTATTTGGTATGGGGGTTAGGGTTTATCTTTCTTGAACATGTTCAATTGGAATAATCATAGATGTAAGTAACCTAAGGATTGTTAAATAATGCACTTCGACACTAATGTGATTTTAAAATGTGGAATTTCATTATTCTTGATGTCATCCTTGGCCTATGTGGATAGGAAGTATTCTTGATTTTTCCTTATTCTAGTGTGATATGATCTCAACTTGCTCTCTCCAACAGCCAGCTGTCCAGTTAAATGAAGACATATACATTATGAATAAAAATTCTGTTTATTAGCTCACTTGTGTTTGTTTTAATTTCCATTGCTGTCCATGTTCATTTCATTTTCTGCAAGGCATTTCCAGAACTTATATTTTATGAATATGTAATACTTTTCTGACAAGCATTAGTGTACTTCAATACTCTAAAAGTGTAATTCTTATTCATATTGTATCTGTATCATACATAAAATTATACCAAATGTTGTCCATATGGACACTGTATGTATGAAAACTTATAATGCAAGAGAAACAAATGTTGACTGTTTCATCCAGGAAAATGTACTAGCTTTTATAATCATATGGTTAATGGCATAATACATGAAAATACATAACAGTACTGATTATTTTACTACTCCATAAATAAAAATACAACTTTTAACAAAAATATTAATATACTGTATTTTACAAATAAATAAAATACATGGCACAATATTCAAATGAACTTGTGAACAAAATTAATAACATTACTTTCCTTAATGTATTTTCTCTTAAGTCATATGTGATGAAATCAAAATTTGCTTACCTTGGGATATCTTAAGTTTATTATTTTGGGATAAATATTATTTTCATCACCAAAATTTCCATAAAATGGATATTTCATTTCGTGGATGTTACTGTCATTAAAAGTTGCAAAACAAAGTTTCTTTCCATCTTCTGACCACCAGATGGCAATGTTTGTGAACAAAATTTCTTCTACACAAAAAATGACAGAAAAAAATTCACACAGAAATAAGAATTTAACTTAAGAAATTTATCAAGTAGATAAAAAATATTCTAGAAAAACCTACAAAATGAATTATTTACCACACGTCATAAGATAGATCTAGCATAAAAGTTTTTTTCATTTGGTTACTATGTTCAAAATGTAATTTAAACATTAGCATTCTTGCATAAGAAAAATAAAATTTTCAATGTGACATA